AACAAGTGAAGAAGGTAGCACTTGCTTATCGCAAGATGAAACAGATCAACAAGATAATAAAAGTACCAGGGCCCGGGAAAATCGCGTTGATAATGTATTAAGTCTCTTGCGTTTAGAACATTTGAATGACGAAGAGCGTAAAGAAATAATTTCATTAGTTGAAAAATATGCTGACCTCTTTAGCATTCCGGGAGAAAATTTGCAAGCAGCATCAGTAGCTTCACATATCATACCTACTAAAGACGATATACCGGTAAATACTAGACAATATAGGCATCCTCCTTCACATAGAGAGGAAATCGAAAGACAAATTACCGAACTTCTGTCAATGGATGTTATCGAACCATCTACCTCTCCATACAATTCACCTTTATTTATCATACCTAAGAAAAAAGATTCTCAAGGCAGAATAAAATATAGATTCGTAATTGAGTATCGTAAATTAAATGAGAAAACTATTGGCGATGCGTATCCATTACCCCTAATTAATGATATACTTGATCAATTAGGCGGTGCAATTTATTTTTCAATTTTCGACTTAAAATCAGGTTTTTATCAAATAAAAGTAGATGAAAAAGATAAACATAAAACAGCATTTACAACTCCTCATGGCCATTATCACTTTAACAGAATGCCATTTGGACTTAAAAATGCACCTGCAACATTTCAAAGATTAATGAATTTAGTATTACGCGGTTTACAGGGCGTAGATTTATTTGTTTATTTAGATGATATAGTTATTTATGCTCGTTCTCTCGAAGAGCACACTTCTAAATTCGAAAGATTAGCAGAACGTTTACGTAAAGCCAACTTAAGTTTTTAACCCGATAAATGCGAATTTCTAAGAAAAGAAGTCATTTACTTAGGTCATCTCATTTCTGCTGACGGTGTCAAACCTGATCCCGAGAAAATTAGAGCAATTAAAGAATACAAAAGACCAATTAGTACCACACAAGTAAGAGAATTTCTCGGACTTGCTGGTTATTATCGACGTTTCATAAAGGATTTTGCAAAAATAGCTAAGCCAATATCGGATCTTACAAGTAAAAACGTGAAATTTATCTGGACTCCTGAACACCAGGAAGTTTTCGAAACTTTACGTGATAAACTGTGTACAGCTCTGATACTGCAATATCCAGATTTTTCAAAACCTTTTATTTTAACGACCGATGCATCTAACTACGCAGTTGGTGCAATTCTCTCTCAGGGTAAAATAGGTGAAGATAAAATAGTAGCAGCAGCCTCTCGTGTATTAAATAAACACGAGAAAAATTACTCTACAATAGAAAAAGAGATGGTTGCAGCTCTATTCGGTATGAAAACTTTTAGACCTTATATTTACGGTAAAGAATTCACTCTCGTTACTGACCACAGACCGTTAGTGTGGGTAAACTCAATGAATGACCCAACATCTCGTGTAATGAGATGGCGAGAACGTCTTAAAGAATTCGAATATACTATATTATACAAAGCAGGTAGGAAAAATACAAATGCCGACGCCTTGTCACGTAATCCGGTAACAGAAAAACGCGAAGCCTATCCAATAAAATTTAAATGGCGACCCACGGGCAAACCGGGAATCGCGAGACTCAGAACAACCGATACATCAGGTTCTGAGATCAGAATTACAAAAAAACCGAAAGTGGCTATCCACTCAGAAACAAATAATTCAGATAAAAATTCAAAAATAAATTCAAAAACTAAAACTAAATTTTCAAAAATCGTTACTAATTCAGTGCACGGAATTAGCAATACGAATTCAAAAATTTCACCTGATGAAAGCACTCAGGCGGCGGGGTTCTGCAACTCAGTCGAAAGGACCTCATTAACTGGCAAAAAGATCCAGGAGGCTAATAAAATCGCGGTTTCACCTGATGAAAGCACTCAGGCGGCGAGATTAAACGACCCAGTCGAAAGGCAAAAATCTGACAAAAAGATTCAGATAGCTAATGCGTTCGTTCATAAAAATTCAAATAAAAATTCTAATCCTGAAACAGATATTCAGGCGGTTGAGCCATGCGCCTCAGTCGAAATACCTTCGGAAATACGCGATAAAAATAGGAGTAGCTACCCTATAAATCAACGGTCATTTTCAAAGGGCTCAAATAAAGTTAGGATAAGTGGAAACTCTGATCAAAACAAAAAACGGTTTATTCCATACCCTATCGATAAATCAGATATCAAAAACAAAAACATAAATTCAAATTCAGATATAGCAGATACAGATAACAAAATGAACTCAGATGTTTTATGATTTGAAATTTGAATTTAATTATTTATAAGTTAAATTAAATAAGATCGTAATTAAATGTTAATAATTAATTCAATGTAATTAATGGTTAATATCACGCGTCAATTATGGATTGACTAAACCCGCGTGGCTGATGCAATCCTTTGTCACGGTGGCACGTAATGGCCGCGTGGCGTCACTAAATAAATTTACTTGATTTTATTTATGTTATTTCACTGAACTATTAAACTGATTTAAATGAATTGAGAATTTAAAGTATAATTGAATCTACTATAATTATTTATATTTAATGAATAATTTAAATATTTGAATGAATGTGAGATGCAAGTAAGAATTATCAAATTGATTAGCACAGAGTAGTCGTACTAGTACAGAAGTCCAAGCACAACTGTTGCAGCAGACCACGCGAGCCGGCTTCTCTACCGCTAACCAAGGCGCGCATGTGCGACGGCCATAGCGTGATACGATTATTCTCGAGTTTTAACGATTAAGCCCGAAGGCGTAATTTCTCTTATAAGTATTTGACTAGATCTCTTTTCTAGCGGTTAAACATCAGATAAAAATAAAAATTCATCAAATAATAATAATCTAAAAGAAAAATCAAATAAACAAAATAATGATTTAAAATCATCAAATACAGAAAATAAACTTAGCATGGTAGGTAATGTAAGTAATTTACCTGACTATTCTGATGAATCATCATCATCAGTATCGGGTAACGTAATTGACGCGTTAACTCTAAAAAAGAAACTCATTAGAAATAATGAAGCCTTACTACCAGACGAAGATTCAGACATGACTGACTTCGACTTGTCATACATAAACAAAGATTCAAATGAATCTTCAAATAAAAATAATGCACAAAAACAAAATCCATTATCCGAAAATTCCAAAATACAAAAATCCAAAAATACAAAAATCACAGAACCTACATTACCACCAACAGAAAACACAGACATACCAACGACATCTACACAATTTACTCCAAACGTACATACAAAAACTAAAAATAATAAATTCAAAAATAGATTTATCCCTCTTCAATATAAGAGAACACAAAAGTTTGCAGATTTTACACCTTCTCCAATATTTCGTACGCGTAAAAGAATAAATAAAAACATTTGTAAAAATACGTTTAGAATTATCGACACTTCAGATGACGAATCAAATACTGAAGAATCAGAAATCGTAGAGTCAAAAATATATTCAAGTAATTCAAATAATATAAGTACAGAGTCTCCTATAGATACAATCCCAATTTTTCAAAGAACACCGAATAAATTAATTAATCGTAAAATAGAAGATATGGGAGGTGCCATACCGTGGTCCTCAGACGTAGGTGGCGATCACCCTCAACATATCGCAGTTAAAGCTCTTATTAATAATAATAATGATAATAACATGTCTACAGAAGACATACAAGAAATGTCAAACATGACACAGTCAATGACAGTAGACCCATCTGTTGAACAATTACCTTCAACACTTATTACACAGACAGAAGATAAAATAACAGACAAACCAATAGACATTAACAAAGACGATAGAAAAAAGATAGTTCAAACGGTAAAGACTAATGACCCTCCGCCGTTACGCAGGTCAACGAGACAACGAAAACCTAAAACATGTACGTGTGGGTCAGACAATACAAGTACACATACTCATACACATAAACATATACCAAAGAAAATACAGACACTTTCAAAGAAAATTCAAAATAAACAATCTAACAGTAAAATTACAAAAAAGACTAAAAATATTAAATTACCAGACATAATGGTAACGTTAAAAACACTCAAAAATAATAATAATAATGGTAATTCAGATACAAATAAAATTACCAAAACAAAAAGAAAATTATCAGCAATAGCTGAAAATAATATTACTAAACATAAAAACATAAATTCCATAATCCCACTAAATTCACAAAAAAATTCAAATTCACAGAAAACGAGCCAACCTCAAAATCAAATAAATTTCGATCGTATCGACGTACAAATAGATCCTAAAAATCCTGATTTACCCACTCCAGATACAGAAAATCCCGAAAAAGAAAATAAAACATTAAACGAAACTCAAAACAATTCAAATCAAACAATAAACGCTTCATACATAGACGACTCCGACGAAGACAGACATAATAATAATAGTAATAATCATATAGATTCACAACAATTAGGATCAAACACAGAAAAGACTAATAATATAAATAATGCAGTAGCATTAGGTGGTGAAGTTGACAATGATCAACCTGGTGACAGCAATAATGATCAATCTAGCGATGACAATAACGGTCAACCTAGTGACGATAATAACGCTCAACCTATTAAAGACAATAACGATCCGCCTGACGACGGCAATGACGATTCACCCGAGGATGATAATGATTCGGATGATGACTCATCAGATTCAGATTTTTCGAATATATCAGACGATTTTAGTAACGAAAATATATCAGAAACGAAAGATAATTTAGAAATGCAGAAAAATAGTTATTTATGTTTTATAAATGCAGACGGTACAGTGCATAGCGATATAAGTAAGAAACTTATAGAAATGGGATATTTAAATAAATTACACCCAGATAATACATATAAATTAGGAGAGATAGTTAAAATGGGCACTTCTAGGAAAAAAGTAATCGCTTTAGTAACACAAAGTAATAGTAAAGATAATCCAACAGAGATAGACTATTTAAAATCTTTCAAAAATTTAAAAACTTATTTATTAAATAACAATATTAAAACAATTAGTGTATCACAAGGTCGAAGTAACTTAAATGAAACCGTATGGTCTAAAATAAAAAGTATTATCACAAAAATTTTTGCAAAAACAGAAATTAATTTCATAATTTGTAGAGATTTAATAATAATTCCTCCGGTGAAGGACAGATATAAAATCATGTTAGAAAATCACGAAACTCCAATGGCAGGTCACAAAGGTGTGACAAAGACATACAATAGAATTAGACAGAGATATTTTTAGGATAACATAAAGATTCAGGTAGAAGACTTTGTACGCAAATGCATAAGTTGCCAGAAAAAGAAATTAGTTAGAATAAAAACGAAACAGCCGATGGTAATTACAGATACATCAGCACAAATTTGGGATAAACTAGCATTAGATATAGTAGTTCCGAATAAAACATCAGCAAATGGTTATTCTTATATTTTAACCATGCAGGACGATCTTTCAAAATTTTGTTTCGCGATACCGTTAGTAACAATGACTGCTAAAGATATCGCAGAAGCCTTAGTGCAACATTTTATCTGTAAATTTGGATGCCCAAAAGTTATTTTAACCGATCAAGGTCAAGCTTTTATTGGAAAAGTTATGACTTGTTTAGCGAAAACGTTTGAAATTAAACAAATAAAAACAACAGCGTTCAGACCACAAGCAAATGGTGGTCTAGAACGAAGTCATCAAGTTCTAACAGATTATATCAAACACTATACAACTAAAAATGATTGGGACCGATGGTTACCACAAGCGACATTAGCATACAATACTAGTGTACACGAAGGTACAAAATTTACACCTTATAAATTAGTGTTTGGAAAAGAAGCTCGTTTACCGTCAGAATTCTCTTATCTAGACGACATACCTACGTACGCTGACTATGTCAAAAATCACGCAACGAGACTGTTAGAAACTCAAAAAGAAGCTAGAGAAAATCTAGAAAAAGCAAAACAAAGATCAAAAACGCGATATGATAAAAATATACATCCGATAAATTTTAAAATAGGTCAAAACATTTACTTAGTCAAAAATCAAAAAACAGGGAAATTTGATGATAATTATTTAGGTCCATATAAAATAACCGAAATATTCCCCGATAAAAATGATATCGAAGTAGAAATAAAACAGGGAAAGAGAAAGATAGTCCATTGCGACAGAGCAAAAATCGCAGATTAATAAAAATGCGATAAACAAGGCAATTAGTAAAAGACAGAAATTACCATAGACACTGATACCAATTAATAAAAAAATTATTTGAATCTTCATTTTTATTTCGTGTATATTTATTATAACTTATGATGTCATTGAGCCCAATTTTACTAGAATACCTAAAACAAGACTTCAATTGACACCTGGTAGCTATTGACAAGGGTAATTGTATTTGGCAAGTTATCGTGCCAGATATGATTTTAGCGTCCCGATGTTTTGCTTCATATTTAAACGAGCTCACTAAAATAGGTGGTCCAATTTTTTCAATAATTCTTGGATAATGCAATAATAAATGAAACTTTGGCTTTAGAGTTTCGTTAAGTAACGAGATAAATGTTTCATTGTGTCGTTGAATCAAATTTCCCAAGTATTCTAATAGTTCAGATGAAAAAATTTGCGAGGTAAGTATTTCTGTGACTTCTAACAATAAATTATTGTACATCCAAATATCATTTTGTTCATCAACAAGATCTCCGACTACAAAAGCAAAATTTCTTACGAGACTTAACATTTCAGAAGCAGATATTATAATATACTTATTTTTTAAATGATTAGCGCTAATAGCAGGTGGAACTATTTCTAAGTCATTATATTAAAAAATATTTTAGTCTCGACTTTAGCTGATCTAAGGTAAACCTTTTTTCTTTTATTAGATTACTAATTATTAATGCCATTGAATATCTATGTATTCCTTCCATTAAATCATGCATTACATCAAACGTCAAATTCTCATATACATGAAAGCTTGGTAGATCGTTCCATACATAAGATTTTTTTTAAGTTTACTTTATTTTCTATATTTTTATCTTTAATATGCTTATCATAATATTCTACTTTTCTTATTAAATTTTCATGTTCACAAGTATCTTTTTCTGAATTAGCTTTCGTTATTAAACAAGTTCGGCAAAAGTAAGTGGCATTGAAGCTTTCCGGAAAACCTAAAATACTATTAAGACCTAAATTATTTCTAGCCAAAGTTACTAAAACAAATTTTACTCTGAGTATTTCATTATTTAGACAAATCTCAATGCTAACTTCTTCTAGTTCTTTTAAATCTATAATCAATTTTTTAAAAATCAATGCATTGCAAAAAGTTACTCTATCGTTAGAATAAAATAGTTCAGTTAAACAAATATTTTCTAATTTACTAGACATATTTGGTGGCACAGTAGCAATTGACGTGTGTACAGCACCTAATTTATTAATTCTAGAATGACTTCTAAGAGGATTACCCGTTTCTAGATTGTCATAAAATGCTATTAACGGAAGTACAATATCCTTATTACCTTTCCGTTTTATTCTGTCGTCCCACAACGAACCTTGCACAATATTTCGAATAATTTTAAGGGTATTATTATTGTTTTCATTTATCAATAGCTTTTGGTAATTATAAATAGTTGTGAATACTCCAGGAAGCTCCAAGAATAACTTTAACGAATGTTTAAGTGGGACAATATAAGCTTTTGCTTCAGTTAAGCTCATAATTTTTTTATTGTTGACTTTTTTCTCTGTTTTATACGTACCAACAACTTCACTTATAGGCTCAACATAACACTTGGAATTTAAATAATACTGAATACGTTTGTGTTCTGTTCCCAACTGCATGAAAGCAGCTTGTATTTGAGAGAATATTAAAAAGATACCATTTACTTTTTTATCAAACACTATTTTAGAATTATTTAACATATTAAATATTTTTTTTTTAATAAATTTAAAATGAATGACTCGATTATTTTAAACAAACTTTGAATTAATGATCTCGGCATGTTTAGAAAATTGTACATGTGGGAATAATAATTCATTGATATCGGAGAAGTATTCGTTAAAGTCATTGCTAGAGTCATTTAAACTTTCATGAACATTAGAATAAGTTAAATCAGTATTTAGATTATTAGCATCCGAGGAAGCTCTTTTAAAAGAAGTTGCATAATTCTCAGTAGTACTACCATTAAAATTTTCGTGAGATAAATCAAAATTTTGTACAAAGAGACTTTGATCTGACGATGGTAATGTACTTCGACTTACTGATAAAATATTATCATGGGAGTAATTATAATGATATTTTAAACCCTCGTTTTTGGTGAGTTTCTGTGATATGTAAAATATATTTTTCAATTATAGTCTGTAATGTGTGGCACAATGGACATTCTAAGAATAAATAGCCACATGCTGATGATGATGAACTCGAAGATGATTGAACAGTATATCCTTCAGAAGAACAACTTGGATCAGAGTAAGTCTAAAAGTTTATTTATTGTCATAAATATAATAAATACGATGAATTCGTTATAAAATTTTGTAATTAAGATATATAAAGTTTAAGTAAAAATGTACTTAGTTAACTTACTTGATTTGGGATAACGAAATCATCGATGTGTTAAATATATTCTCATTCCTTCATCAGGACATAATTCTTTAAGTAAAAATCTGCTGACAATGTTTTTAAAAATTGAAGCGTTATTCCGTTGTCTGAGAATAAAAAATATTTTCATACAGAATAAAATTTAATCAGTGAAATGAGTTATTTTAAAATTTAACCTCAAAAAATTTCAATTCATTTTTTACAATTATTAATAATATAAATATATGCATATATATTAAGCATGCTTAATAATTCATCAAGTTCAACTCTCAGATTCTTTAAATTATATTCATTACCTATAAATTTTATTGTGACAGCGTCAGGAACATTCCATTTGGTAAACAATTCTTTCAATTTCAGACATGCACCCTTATTATGAGTCGACATTTTGACTGTGAACTTGAAAAACGGTCCTCAGATTTAAAATTGTTTTGTATTAAAATTTTCAGCATTAAAAGTTCGTAGGTCATTCAATCAACGAGCAGTCTCAGATCATAAAATTATCTATCTAAATTTCTCAAGTTAACTAATAGTACTTGTTTATATATGTATATCGAAACACTAAATTTTTTTTTATTTCAAAAATTTAATTATTTAAGCCATTAATCCTGGCGGATAAAAAAATAATCGCCTAAACTTCCGAAAAAGTAGGATTCGCTGCTCTGGGATATTCCGCTCCCGTGAACCAATAAATGTCTTTGTCTTGAGATGATTTTATTAATTTTAGACAGAAGTTCTCACGCGTGCCAGTTAATTTATTTTACTTACTTACAATATCAACTGCGGTGATTATTCTGTGTCCTTGATTGACCCTTTGGCTGGTTGAATATAGATCGTCGTAGTGAATATATAGGTGAATAGTGGTAGTTTAGTAATAGTGTATAGCGGTGATAACAATAAACTTAACTTTATTACACAAAATAAGCACTTTTAATATAAACTTATGGTATTTCGGTAACGTAACTTAACAAAATAGAATACTTGTAACAATAAAATGAATATTATTTAATATTAGAAATATAATAGAGAATTAATGGTAAATTATGGTGAATAGCCACTGAATAGTATAGTAATAGAGAATATTAGATTAATTAGTAGTAAACTGTTAATAGAATTTTAATAGGTTTTAGTAGTAAGTTTTATAAATTTTGGTGAGTAATCACGTAATAGTAGTATAGTAGTAAATTGACTAGGAAATATCTAGCGTGGTGGTTGACACCGGGGGATAGATCGAAGTGTCGATCAATGCTCAGGTTCTGAGGTTCGTAGCTGATTTTCCCCTCCTCGTGTCGTCTTGTGACGTCACGGGGGCTACACATTATTTTAGCTAGTGTCGGTAACGGAAATTTTGGGTGGTAGTTCGCCAGGCTGATAAAATCGGGACATTTTGCAGTGTCTCAATATACATCTATATTACTATATAAATCTATTGGGGCGCTACTATGCTTTTGAAGTAAGTTGACGTGTTTTGTGACGCTCCGCTATTTTAAGCATTTAAGTCAGTAATATTTGAGTGGATAATTCTATACAAGTGTCTAATCTTTGCCATAACTTGTGTCTCGAAGTTTGTAATAAAAACGTTCTCTGATCCTGTGAGCTTCTCGACTTAATTCTGTTTCTAGTTGATTTGTGCTGTTTTCGTTATTTCAATCACATGGTGTATTTACGTTGTCAAGCCACTGTAAATGAAGAATAGCGACTGTAACGGTATGTTCCTGCTACTATGTCGCCCCTTTTTTAGTATTTAAAATTTAAGGGTGCCACTGGAATTTTTATCACGGTTTCCAGAACCGGTCCGAGCTATGAGAGATATCTAAGGGCCGAGAGAGATTATAATTAGGTTAACACAGATAATAACAATTAATTTTCAAATTAAATTCCGAATTTATTCAATTGACATTTACAATAGCCTTGAATAATTTTATCTTACACAGACACTCTTATACAATATCAAAAATAAACTTAATCCTAACAGTACCCTCTGAGGGAGCGTCTATACTGTAGTTACTAATAAAAATTTCTTAATCCTAACAGCACCCTCATATGGAGCGTCTATACCGCAGTTTCTACCTAAATTGCGCTGTCCACCGGACCCTCACGCTCTAAGACTCTAGATTTGACCTTGGGTGGTCGCCCGGACCCCTGCCCAAGGCTCAAACCGTCCTTAGCCCTTTCGCTGTCGCCCGGACCCTCACTATGGGGCTAAGGAACCTGAAGTCGGCTAAGACAGAGGAGGATACCATGAACTTAGTCGACAACCCGCAAATACTAACCTCCTCGACAGCCCGTGAACGAGGAGTATATAATGTTAATTATTTGCCACACACACACTATTTAATAAAACAATTCATCTAATTATCACACTTTTCCTAATTAACAATATTAAAATAACTCACTTAGTTTTAATTCACAAAATTCCTAATCCTCGCATTTTACAATATATCTTCCTGGGAATCAAACTCAAATTATCCCGGTTCCTAACTTTGACTTCGATAAATATTTAAATTTAAATTTTGATTTCATATTATTATTATTAATTAATTTATCACAGAAACTTTTCTTGAAACCAAAAATTTTAGATTTATTTTAATTGAATTTAATCTGCCTGATTACTCGGCTTAGCGTCCATTTTAAATTCCAAAGGGGATTTGAGAAATGAATATTAACTTGGCTAAATTTTACAAGGTCAAAATTTTACTGTAAATTTTCTCAATAATTATTTACTGGGATTTGGATAAATTTATTTATCGAAGTCTTGAACAAATTTAATTTAATAATATATTTTGCTTTTAATAATTTAATAATTTTAATTTAATTTTAATTCTCTAAATTTAATTCACTAGCTTATAATTTATTTTAAATTTCGAATATTAATTTTAATTGGAATTTTCACTTTTAAATTTTGGAATTATTTTAATCTTTAGAGATAAATTTTATTTATTAATTTAATTTTAGCTATAATTAATATTTTTTTTTAATTTCAATTTAATTATAATTTATTTTAAAATTTACTTAGCGGATTTTACTTTTACACTTAACCATTCATTTGATTTTGAATCAATTCTAATTTTATAATTTTAATTTTAAATTAAACTTAAATTATTTATTATTTAAATTTAATAATTTTAACCTCGTTTAATTTTAATATTAAGTTATTTTGAATTTCGGAAATTTTTCTCAATCTTAAATTTTACTTAAATTATTCTTAACCTCGATTTTATAAATTTAGATATTAAATAAATTCAATTATAATCAATAAATCTAATGATTGGAAGAAGGAACCTGGCCAGTGCCTAGTATTTCCTCGAGCAGCGTAGTTTATTTCACAGAGGTTAATTTTCGATATCTGGGATTGTTATAAAATTCCTGGAGACTTCGGATGTTTTCCAATTCGTAATCAGGTCCCGGTGCAATGGCTACAACAATCTCCAGTGTGGTTGCTTCGTTTTACTTCTACGCTGCTTTCGGTTATTTTTCGGCGTTGTTAGTTATCTATAAGCACAGTACTGTTATAGTAATTGATTAGATTTATTTAAGCCGGGTAAATGCCTAGCAAAAATATATACAAGTTATTAATAATGGCTATCGCTTCGTTTCACAGTAGGTTCGAAGGACAGAAATAATTACCTTGTGTCTTTAGAATTTCGAGGCTGCTTTGTCGAGTTCCGTCTTCACAATATCTTCTCTCCGTGCGACAACTTTCTTTTGCCTCGGTGCAGTTTTCTCCCCACTCTCGAATCACTTCCACTCTAGGTCCCAGAACTTATTTTACCAAATTTTCACTGCGCGAGCATCTTAGATCACAGCGCCCTGTGATCCGTCGATAATTAACCATATTCAGGACGAGGGCCTTCAATAGATAATAAAGGACCCCCGTGACATCTCTCGGTCAAACTCTGACCCTCCGGCGTCTCTGCTAGCCAAACCTCGTCTGATTTTAAACACTGATAATTCGAAAACAGAAACTACACCAGTGATCCCGCCAAAAAGAGGTCGTGCTTCTACCCAACAGCTCCTGGCAGTAGCTGCCAATACTTGCACACCAATAACTAATTTTATTATCGATTCTAAGAGAAAAAGGGAAAGTGCTGATCATTCTCCTCCAGAAGAGCAGGACCAGCCCCAGAAGTTAATCAAGAAGGGAGTTACTCCGGTGGATTTCACAAGTTCTGTCTCAACTGAGCTAAATGACACTGTGATCATGGAAAAAATACTTGAAGAATTAAAGGATATGAGAACAGACCAGGCAAAAAAACACAAGGAACTTACAGATAAACTCAACAAGAAACTCAAGGATGATGAAATTGCTTTTGATGGTATTCAAAAAAACTTGGACTCCTTAAGAAATGAGCTGCAAGATTCCAAGACTGATCTAAACAAACGTATCGAAGCACTTAAAAAAATCACGGTAAAAAAAATGAACTTGATAATCTGATAGCTGCTCCATTTGTAAATGTCGAGAACGAAATAATCAAGCAGCTTAATAGCCGAATCGACTCCTTGGAAAGAGAAAATAAAAAAACTAAAATCTCAATAGTCGGTCTTTCTTTGACCTCGAACAATCACGCGGAAGAGATCAAAATATTCTTGGAGTCCAAATTTGAAGAGTGCATCCCCAGTATTTCGCTTATTGAGTTCACCATGAGGCTCATAGTTGATCTGTATGACGTAAATATTATAAGAATCTTATACTCAAAAGCAAAAAAGCCAAACTATAGGTTACATAGATATTTATTGACCCAAATAAAACTGCTAGAGAACGAGAAATTGATTGGAACGTCAGGCAGCTGATCAAACAGTTAAGAACCGAGGGAAAAAATTGCATAAGAAAAGGTAATAAAGTATTGGTTGACGATCTAGTATACTCATGGAGCGAGAAGGCTAACAAGATGCTGTCCCAGCTCAAAAAAAATCACGCGCACTCATCGTCAATGGTTCAGTCCGGAAATTTTTCAAAAAAGTAAATAACTCATCTGTGGGAACATCTGTATTCAAAATCACTTTCTGGAATCTGCACGGTTTCTCGAATCTTGAACCCAGCTCTTTAATTGGTAATTTGGATATTATAGCAACATGCAAAACATGGGTAACACAACCGTACAGTCCCGGTTTCCTAGAAAATTTCAATACATATTGGTCAAAGGCACTGAGAGAACATGCGGTAGGCAGAGCCAGCGGAGGACTACTGACAGCAATAATTAAGCAACATGATAACTCGCTGATTGACGCTTCACCTTGGTGGATCTTCAACGAAATTCAACTTGGCTCTTCTGTGGCCATCCTTGGGTCAGTTTACCTGCATAAATGTCTTGATTTTAATTACTTACTCGAAACGTTACAGGGCACTATTGATGACATTAAAGCAACCCGTTCGTTCGACTTATTCATCATCGGAGGTGATATGAACGCAAAGGTTGGTCTGCTAAATCCATGGCCGGCAGATCTCTTCGCAGGGTACCAAATACTTGATACTTTTCGCACAACAGATGATTCTACTTGTGAAAGAGGTCGGAAGATCATGGACTTCATGGTTGAAAACGACTTCGTGCTTATAAACGGGAAGACCATCAGTGACTCTCCAGCCCAACCAACGTTCGACTGCTCTGGTTCGTCAATCATCGACCTAATTTGGATCGACATTTCATCCCTGCACGTTGTCAATGATCTAGAAGTCCTTTTGGAGACTTCTTTGTCTGACCACCACCCAGTCTGCTTAAGTATCTCGCTGGAAACTTTTATCCAACCTGACAAAAATGAAAATGTAAAATCTGCACGACTCGTCAGAATAAATTGGTCTGAAAACGCTGCTGACCAGTATCTTGAATAGCTGTCACACCTCTCAGTCCCTCTGGACCTAACTTCTCTCTCAACGGATAATATTCAGTCCCTCCTACATGACCACATGTTTTCTGCTACTGTCAATGCTAATCTGGTTAAAAGTTTCAGTTCCTCATCAAGCTGTTGGACTTCACGTAACCCATGGTTTGACTCATGCTGTAAAAAAGCCAAAAGCGATCTAACAAAGGCTCTAAAGAAACTAAAAAACGACCGAAACAATAACTCTCTCAGACACGATGTCACTATTAGCAAGAACAACTACTGGGAAATCTGTAAAGAAAAAAAAAAAACTCACATAGATAGTATCAAAACAGAGTTTGCCAACGTCAAGGCTCCAGCTGAATTCTGGGCCGCTGTTAGAAAATTCAATTTCAAGCACAGCGCATCCGACATCTCGATTAATTGCTGGAACAATTTTTACTCAGCGATCCTTAAGCCGAGACCTTTTGCCCCTTATATACTGGACAACACTCACAACGAAATCTTGGACGCTGAAATCACGATCTCGGAACTTAACTTGGTACTAAACACTCTGAAATCTGGCAAAGCTGCCGGCCAAGATTTACTAACCAATGAGCTATTTAAAACCCTCACGACTCAGCACAAAAAACTTCTAAGTACTCTATTTAACAGAGTTTTCTCTGAAGAACAAGTCCCGAAAAGCTGGGCGAAGATCTGGATGTCGATGCTGCACAAAGAAGGCGACAAGACTGACCCAAATAATTACCGAGGAATTGCTCTTGTTAATATTATCACCAAAATTTTCACCAGCATTTTAAAGAAGCGCCTAGTCCTCTGGATGGACATTGAAAATGTTTTACCTGATTCACAGATGGGCTTTAGGAAAGGACGCAGCTACATGGATGCCATCGTTACGCTTCTCAGTGCCATCCAGATACAATTCCGTCATAAAGACGGCACAGAAATTTACGGTGTATTTGTCGACTTTCAAAGAGCATTTGATTCTGTGCCTCATGCGCGTCTTTGGCAGAAACTTCAAGATCTAAATGTCAGCAGCAAGTTTATTCATACCATAAGATCGCTATATGACCAAGCGTCTATGGAAGTCAGAACCAAGGAAGGCCTGTCAGACAACTTTGAGATCACTGAAGGTGTTTTACAGGGCGAATCCCTAAGCCCGGACCTGTTCCTCCTGTACTTGCATGACTTTGAAAAATTCTTCTGCTCCAAAGGTCTCTACGGTCTGGACATAAATGGAGTTGTTGATATTCTCTTGCTGCTGTACGCAGATGACACTGTAATTTTCGCCCATTCACATATAGACCTCTTGCGTAAGCTGAGAGCCTTTGAAGAGTACTGTGATTTAAACCAACTAACAGTCAATAAAGCCAAAACGAAAATCCTCGTTTTTAAAGCAGCAGAGAGAGTACGTGACTGCCCCTCTCACTACAGAACTTATAAGCAAACCTGCCTTGAGTTAGTCAAGACTTACACTTATTCGGGAGTCGAGGTATCCACGTCAACCAGAGGGCTAGCAGCCCTGAACTCTGCTATCAGCAAGGCAAAGAGTGCTTCGGGTGTGTCCTTGTCTATATTGTCAAAAGCTAAATGTGACTCATGGAATGCGTACAAAAAGATATTCGACAGTATGATATCTTCAGTATTCTTATACGCCATCCCAGCCTGGGGATTATGGTACAGAAACTCTTTGGGACCTGCCCAAACTTTCTTCTTCAAGAAGTTGTTTAAATTGCCCAGAAACACTCCAGACTGGGCTGTACGCCTAGAGTTTGGACTCGATCCCGTCGCCTTGAAAGCCATGACCTGTGTCTTGAGATGGGTGATTAAAACACTCAAAGCTAACGACATCTGCTTGCATAAGATTTGCCTTCTACGCCTTTTTAACCTGGCTAAAAACAATCCAACAGCCTCGATATTCAACTGGGCGTCACAACTGAAAGCATTTCTGACAGAATACGATGCTTTGGAACTCTTCGATACGGTGGACCATCTTCAATGGGAAGCTAAAACTGTACCTATACTTAATCGGTACAAATCCATTTTGTATAGCTTTGACAGAAATGCAGCAAGAACCTCGAAGGCACTAGAATTCTCTCTACGGTTGCCAGACCCACATACTCCGGCCAGATACCTGTTGTTGAAATTCCCGCTCAACTGTAAGCGCTTGGTAGCGCAACTGAGACTGGCGAATAAATATAACTGCCGCCTAAACACAAACAACCTTTTGACAAGATTCGCTCCGCACTCCACCTGCCAACTCTGCAATCATAGGGAGCTAGACACCATTGAACACCTTCTGGTTGTATGTCCTTACTACTCAAGTTTCAGATCCCAATACCTCCATAATGTTCAGCTTAACAGTGAGCAAATTCCACATTTACTTTCCTCACCCGATCCAAAAATTCTGTATCCATTTATAAATTTTATCACTAAGTCACTAGAGCTGAGAGCCTGGGCTCTGCACTTATAAATGTTCTCTCCCTTGAAATAGATCTAGTCGTTGTTCTCACGGATGATTTGTAAACATAATGTAAATATTTTTATCGAATTAACAACTTAATTCACTTTTTATTATACTTATTAGTACTAATATTTTAATCAAGACATTTTTTGTAAAAAAATTTTTTTCTTTTTTTTTATCTTGTCAATATTGTATGTTCTTCTTTAACATTGTATGTATATTATATTCTCATGTGCAAATTATATACTTTTTACCCCCCCCCTTGCTAAAAACAGATTTTGTAAATGTTTAATGCAATAAATAAATAATAATAATAATAAAAAAAATTAAAAAAACGGTTCACCCTAAAGGCAACTTCCCGCTAATTCCATTCCTGGGCGCTTAAAATTGTACTTATGATATTTTTGAGATTTTTGAGCTCAAAATATAATTTAGAAAATATTTTGAGCTCGCTGAGTTCGAAGAAATAATATTTCTATGCATTTGAGCTCTTCTGGCTCAAAAGTCGGATAGAAGTTTCATAGAACACTAGGTTTTAATTGATCAAACCGAAAATTTCGGAGTAATCCCGAAAAAAACACTTTTTTCGGTTTTCGCTCGTTCACGATATCTCTCGAACGAATCAACTGATTCTGACCAGCTTGGTGGCAATCGACGTGGTTTTTTGATGTTAAGAGTTGATTAGTTTTTGGAATCGATCGGTAGAGCTGTTTGAAAGTTATTCCAAAAAATGTCGGAGTTATGTTGAAAAAATCCTTATTTCCAAATATTTCGTCGAGGATATCTCTCGAACCAATCAACCGATTCTTACGTTCTTGGCGGCGATCAATGCAGTTTTTGAGCTCTAAAAATTATTCTATTTCACCAAAAACGATCCGAAAAGAAATATCGAAGTTATGGGAAAAAAACACTTTTTTCGGTTTTCTTTCGTTCACGCTATCTCTCGAACGAATCAACCGATTTTGATCAGATTAGCGCCGATCGGCGTGGTTTTTTAAGCTTAAAGGCAGATTAGTTTTTAAAGTTGATCGAAGGAGCCGTTTAAAAGATATTCGAAAAAACCACTTTCAAAGATGATTTTTTTCTTATTTTTTTTGGGATTTTTCAAAATTTCTCAAAATCTATCGGTCTGAATCAATTTAAATTAACAGGGAATCTAAGTTTGGTGAAGCCTTTTCGAATGGCACCAACCGCGATGAAATCGGTTCAACCGTTCAAAATTTATAAGCGATTCACATACTTACACACACACACACACACACACACACACACACACACACACACACACACACACACACACACACACACACACACACACACACACACACACACACACACACACACACACTGCTGATAGAGGCGAAGCCCTACAAAAGACCATCGCGGACATCCTTAAAGAGGAAGCCAAAGTGATATGCAAAGGGCCACAGGAGACTATCGAGATCCGAGACGTCAATGACCACACGACGAAGGTAGAGATTCAAACTGCACTGAAAAAAGAAACCGGAGAAACCTGTGAAATACCTCTGAAGTCGATCAAGATCTGTAAAGCCTACAGAGGTACTCAGACTGCTACAGTGATGCTACCAGCGACAACTGCACAGAAGTTACTAGAAGGTAACAGCAAAGTGAGAATTGGTTGGGCCAACTGTCGAATAAGAGCAACGAAGAGACCTGTCCAATGTTTCAAATGCTGGCACTTTGGCCACTTCGGATCCCAGTGCAAAATCAAAGTCGATCGGTCTAGGCTTTGCATCAGGTGCGGAAGAGAAGGGCACAAGATTGCTGATTGCGCAAATCCAGCCAAATGTGCATTTTGTGCTGAGAATGAAAGTGCAGAGAATGTTGCCCACCATGCCGGTACCCATAAGTCCACGGTATTTCAGAATGCACTCCAGAAGTTGACGAACAAACAAGCATGAGGATACTGCGGCTCAATCTCAACCATTGTGAGGCAGCGCATGACCTGCTCATGCAATCCGTGCGAGAACTAGAGCTTGACTTGGTACTGATAGCAGAGCCATATAAACACCTGAGTATCCAACCCTGGGAATCTGACAGCACATCCAAAGCTGTCATCTGGTCATGTGGCAAGCTCCCTTTCCAAAATGCGACAACAGCAATGTCGGCTTTGTAACAGTATCAGAAGAGGGCATTCGCTTCTATAGCTGTTACGCACCACCTAGCCTCTCTACTGTCGAATTCACCGCATTTCTGGATCGACTTACCGAGGACGCGAAGCATTACCACCCAGTAGCAATAGCTGGGGACTTCAACGCCTGGGCAGTAGACTGGGGAAGCAAGCATACAAACGCGCGAGGAAAGGAATTACTAGAAGCCTTTTCTACATTAGATGTAGAACTGCTCAACAGTGGTGACACACCAACCTACACCAAGGGAGACGCAAGTTCTATTGTAGATCTCACTTTCGTCAGTGGCAGCCTCACCAGAGGTAATATCAACTGGTAGGTGATGGATACCTACACAGCCAGCGACCACAACGTGATTCTCTGGGAAATATTAAACGCCCAGAGCCCGAGAAGACC